TTACTCTATTACTCCAGTGCGTGAGTGCCGGGGCTGCCAAGGAGTAACTTACCTTTTCGTGTACTTGTTCCGGATAAACGTGTGCAAACCACGAACTTGTGGTGTTTCTCTGATGATAGTAAGACTGTCAGGCAATTCATCAGGGAGCTGACTCATGTTCACCAGATCGTGACGACATTGCGAATGAGCTGTTTGGTCATAACCTATAGCACAAATGGTGATCAGAGCAAATACGAACCGTAGCATTTCGTGACTCACCTCTTTTCACCAGTTGGGTCATCACTTGCTTCGCAATGAGATTGATTGCCACATCATTGTCCCCACCTCGTGGAACGATAATGTCAGCAACCTTCATTCCTGGCGCGATATACGCTTCGAATGCCGGCTGTAATGTTATCGGCTTCTCTTCCGCGCTATCTCTCCATCTCCACATCACAAATACGTGTTAAGCTTAGAAAACCTGATAATTCTCAATAATAATGACAGCTATGCTACCGTAGCTTTTTTACCTAATAAATCTTCTAAATACAGTGTGCTCACTGCAGAATGAGGAGCGTGTCAGATGGGGTGGATTTGGCGCAGCGCTTAACCCATCCAGCCGGACACGTCCTTCAATCCGCAGCGAACAAGACTGTAACTCCCTATAATAATGCACGTTATTAAAAGCAGCGCCCGCGTTCAATTTGATGAGTTATGGGGCTCAGACAGTGACAACAAGGTAGCAAGTAGTTCATTAGTGAAGAAAAATGCAAAAAAAATCATCGGATAGGGTGGGGTGGCCGACTCTTCACGAGCGGGCGCCGCTACTCTCGCATTTTTGAGTGGCGAAACTAGCACGTCCACCATCCTCATGGGGTGAGCTACGATATCCAAAGAGGGTGTGGAACAGCAAGTGGGACAAGGGCGTTCTCCAGCTTAGGGAAGGGGCACTTTGCAATTCCGCCAGTTTCTTTTGCTGGTCCATATTGAACATTCTAGTGAAATCTGTAAAGTCTTGCAAAGCTGCGAAATGTTACAAGTGCGCCAATTTGGTGACAGAAATTTTCAGGTTTCTACAAGATGCCCCGTACAAACTTT